TAGCCCTCGTGTAGCTTTGCGCGAAATTTCAAAAACAAACAAACAAACGTCTAATGTCTCTAGATGTGGATAATCACCGTATTATATCTAATATCTCTAGATGTAGATAATCAGTCTTTACGATCAATATCTCTAGATGTAGATAATCAGTCTTTACGATCAATATCTCTAGGTGTAAATAACCAGTCATTACATCGAATGTCTCTAGATGTAGATAACCAATGACATTAGTTTCAATGTCTCTAGATGTAGATAACCAATGACATTAGTTTCAATGTCTCTAGATGTAGATAACCAGTCATTATGTCGAATGCCTCTAGATATAGATAAGATAACCACTGTCAATAGTTCCCATATCTCTAGATGTAGATAACCACTGTTATTATGTCGAATGTTTCTAGATGTAGATAACCAGTCTTTACGATCAATGTCTCTAGATGTAGATAACCACTGTTATTACATCCAATATCTCTAGATGTAGATAACCACTGTCATTACGTCGAATGTCTCTAGATGTAGATAACCACTGTCATTACGTCGAATGTCTCTAGATATAGATAACCAGTCATTACGTTCAATATCTCTAGATGTAGATAACCACTGTCATTACATCCAGTGTCTCCATTTATAGATAACCAGTCATTATGTCCAATGTCTCTAGATGTAGATAACCATTGTTATTACGTCGAATGTTTCTAGATATAGATAACCAGTGTTATTACGTCGAATGTCTCTAGATGTAGATAACCAGTCATTACGTCCAATGTCTCTAGATGTAGATAACCAGTTATTATGTCGAATACCTCTAGATATAGATAAGATAACCACTGTCAATAGTTCCAATATCTCTAGGTGTAGATAACCACTGTTATTACATCCAATATCTCTAGATGTAAATGACCAGTCTTTACGATCAATATCTCGAAATGTAGATAACCAGTCATTATTTTTCGAAATAAATGTAACAGTAAATCTAGCTTGCAATAACGTTTACGTTAGGAGGCGCCACCAATAACACTGACACTAAAAGTTACTTGTAATGAAATGAAGATCACTGACGAGTTAGTGGACAATTCAAGCAACTGTCACGTGAACGAAAATATAGCATATTATCACTAAACACAGCAGTGCTTAATATGTAGGAATTGGCCCAGAAAAAAATGGCTGTAACATTCAATCTATTAGTCTATGATGCTTACAAATAACTGCTAAAGTTGAGTTATAGTCTAATTTGAGCACCTAATTGCCATTATCTAGTGTTTGACAGCTTGTGTAACAGTAATATTATTCTGTTCTTCTACCAAACGTATTTTTTGTAGGGAAATAATAGAAAGGAAATCCACTACTTAGCAGTGAGTTCAGTTTATAAGCATATATTATTTCCATGTTTCATAAATAGCAGTTTCATATCTGCTGGCTAGATGGCAGCACAAATTGTTTTATATAACGACAATTTTTGACTTTTTCATTGCACAAACACGATATTTGCCAAAACAATTTCAGTAAAATTAAAGAAAGAAAGAATAATTCGAATTAATATCCAAGGTATCAAGGACATCAAGTATTTATGCAACTGATAGATCTGTGTACATGTGATTGATGTCTGAGTTTAAAAACACCAGCTTCATAGTTATGAAAATAATACATTATATAGAGGTCTACTTTTCTTTAGCTTTCCAATGGGGCCGAATCCGGCAGATGTGTGTTTTTGCGTAGTATCATACTTTATGGCCTGGGATATGCATTATGTCTTCCCTATAAAGTGTTATGACGTTAGGGTGTGGTAGAATTATTTGGATTCACATGCAATGAGTTGGAGTGAAGGTAGAAGGATTGGGTTCTGTAAATATCTTCCAGCTCTCCGGGGGTGCTTGTACCGTCCTGGAGGAACCATTCGAGCTTCACCAGCCCCAGTGTAGTCCAAAATTAGAGAAACTGATATGATATTACAATATATATAACAAAGTTGTTTTAAAGAAGGATAGGAAACAAGTAATAAAAAATTACAAAAGTCAAGCATGATGTAGAGAAGGCAATGCCAAAAAGTACAGAAACAAGGTAGTGATGAAAACAGGTTCATCTTTACAATGTACTTTTTTACCTGCAGGTCTGACCACTCTAACTGGACATTCATTGGTCAGAGGTTCACTGACTCCTGCTTCATTGAAGGCTATAATTCTGACAAAATATTCGTGATCTTCTTGTAAGTCCTTTATAGTAATCTGTTTGATGTTAGCGTCTACTCGACCCACCTAAAAGAGACAAACACACGAATAACAAGCAAGAAAGTTTCTGTAAAACATCTTCTAATATAGTTTGTACAAAAGCACACAATCTTAATTTATTGACTTTATTTGTCTCTTAAGAAATCTTTACAGATATATTCTCTACAGAAGCTTTCATCTTGTCAGTAAGGCAAAACATATAAGAAAAGGTGTTCCTTGACTTCATCTAAAAATAGCAATAACTATTTTCCACAGGGTGACACAAAATATTTAACTACAAGTTTTCCTTAATTTCATATGATAATAATAAAAATAATAACACTTTTCTATAGTACAAAGTGGCACAAGATTGCAAAAGTAAGTTTTCTTTAACTTCGATTAATAATAATACTATCAATTTTCTAGGGGATGACGCTAAATACACAAAAATAAATTTTCCTTAACTAAAAACTATAATTATAGTAGCAACAACAGTTTTATACAAAGTGACGCAAAACATACAGTAAGTATTCCTTAAATAATAACTATATGATAATCGACACTTTTCTACAGGGTGGTAAAAAAGTCTACTGCCATCATAATATTTGTATTTCATGTGGTACAAAGGTCGCCTACCATCATAATACTTCTAATTCATGTGGTAAAAAGTCGCCTACCATCATAATATTTGTATTTCATGTGGTAAAAAGGTCGCCTACCATCATGATATTTTTATTTCATGTGGTAAAAAGGTCGCCTACCATCATAGTATTTGTATTTCATGTGGTAAAAAGGTCGCCTACCATCATAATATTTCTATTTCATGTGGTACAAAGGTCGCCTACCATCATAATATTTTTATTTCATGTGGTAAAAAGGTCGCCTACCATCATAATATTTTTATTTCATGTGGTAAAAAGTCGCCTACCATCATAATATTTGTATTTCATGTGGTAAAAAGGTCGCCTACCATCATAATACTTCTAATTCATGTGGGGAAAAAAGTCGCCTACCATCATAATATTTGTATTTCATGTGGT